GGGGCGAGAGAGAGGAGGAGGAGGAGAAGGAGAAGAAAAAGACGAGCACAACGGCCGAACTGGAGATAGATAGAGATAGAGAGCAAGAGAAAACACGCTGAGAGGAGAAGAGAGAGGAGGAGAGAGGCAGACGAGAGAGAGAAGAGAGAGAGAAGAGAGATAGAGATAAGCGTGATAGAGCATAGAGATAGAGATAGAGATAGATAGCAGTAGAGAGAGAGCAAAGACGAGAGACGAGAGAGAAAAGACGAGAGAGAGAGAAGATGCGATGAGGCAGATAGAATATAGAGAGAGAGAAAGCACCGCGAGAGCATTAGCAGAGACAGCAAATAATACGACTGAGAAAGCACGCGGAGAGGCAGATAGAGGAAGAGAGAGAGAATATATATTTTATATATAGCATAATAGTATTATATATAGATATATTATAGATATAGAGCAGAGAGAACAGCACGCGGGAGCATATATATACTATATATATATATATATATTATATGATTATATTATATATAGAGAAAGAAAGCACGCGAGAGATAGAGAGAGAGAAAGCACGCGAGAGATAGATAGATAGAGCGAGAGAAAGCACGCGAGAGCTGCCTCGTCACACACTCACCTTGACGTAACCTTGCGAGTCGATGAGAATGTTCTCAGGCTTCAGGTCCCGGTAGATGATGTCGAGCGAGTGCAGGTACTCGAACGCCAGCACGACCTGCGCCGCGTAGAACTGAGAGTGCTTCTCACTGCAACGACGACGCGCGGTAAGCACGGCATCGCAGCGACGCGTGGGTGACGCGGAGGGGGGGGGGCAGGGGGGCTGTGTGTGTACCCGCCCCCCGGCGCCCCGCTGCCACAACGCGCCGCAACCCTACGCGCTTCATACACAGCAGCGCAGCTTCTCGTTCAAACTCGTTTATACGCTGATGCTGTTGCACGATACCGCCAAAATGCGTCGCAAAAAGATCATGTAGAAGAGAAATAATCGCTTTCCAATCGTTATACTAGCTGCGACGCAGAAGCACGGCAAAGGTGAGGCAGACACTTGCTGAACGTTCGCCGTATACGTTAAGAGTGACTGCACCTCAATTATTATTCACTATATCATTATCGCGATTATCGAGAAAATCACAGTCATTACATTGAACATTTAGTACACTGATAATTACTTGTTTAGTGCAATAGGAGTTCATTAGAAATATACATTATTTTGATGCAATTATTCAGACTTAGTTGCATCAATGCATACAACACATATTACTCATATTCTCGTATATATTTCTACGAATGATCTAAAACATGGTTGTTCAGCTAGTGTTAGCTAATTATTAAGAAAGTGTCAACAGCAGAGTGAAAGATTTAGCTAATGAGCGAAATGTGAGTAAAAAGCACAGTTAAAAGGTAAGAAATCACTATGCGATTCTTTGAGACAGGTACTGGGGAGATAATGGCCAGCATTCTCGCCTGACTCAAAGAAATAATTAGCCAACTTAACAACTCAGCTACAGAATTCGTACATCAAGGCACACTGCTGCCGACAAATCTACAACCGGTGCCGCAAACACAGCGACGCCCTAAACGTTTAGCTGCTAGTTACGCGCTATGATAAACACTCAGACATATCGAATTCTCATTATCTGTCTCGTTCTCATTAAGATATTATTATAACCTCAAATAATCAAGAAGATGCTATTTCTGCATGCAACGTTCCCTCCAGCACCGGTAACTATAGGAGTCGTACAGCGGAGTAAAGAGTTATACCCATCTATGTATGGCTGACATCGTTGTGTATTAGATTTCCCCACGTGGCCCCAGGCTATCGTTGGCTGGAGACAAGCTCCTTTATTCTAGGAACGAACCTCGCGTATATCTTCCACGGGTTCACAAACATCTCAGTTAAAGGTTAAACAGCTAGCCGCTACCCTAGAGGAAATCCTCAAGCAAATCAATCTTATAATAAACCTGTGCGCTAACTGGCTATAATTACATGCGATTTTTTGTATGCCCATCACTACAGAGCTTCACATATTACACACACACATACACACGCACGCACGCACACACGCTCGTACACTCGCATGCACACACACATAATCCATGGCAGCAATGGTGAGTATAGGTTACGGGATTGTAGTAGATAGGATGGGGTAAGAGATCACGAGCAGGGGGAGGGGGATATTTAGCATAGAGAATGGGAGACTTCGTGCGGGCAGTTAAAAATAGCAAGAGGCAAAAAGTATGTATAATGCTGCAGAACATTCTCGCCAACATCCACACATCGCACCACTGCTTTAATTAGTACAAAACACTTACCACTGCCTCAGTTAATCTTATATAATACAGCTAATTCCTCCCCTTGCCGTTTTACTCTTGTTCCATCACTGTAAATCACATGCATTCCACCCATCACCTGTGCATCTCATCTGTCACTGTACTATATATATATAATATATATTATATATATATATATATGCATGAGCAACATAGGCTGCAGGGATATTAACACTACTATCAATAACACGCGTTTCTGTAAGCTCAAATCAGAGCAGATAGCAGATACAAGCCATCGTCAGATTATGGTTAATATACTCTAACTACTGTAATCACAGTACTACCTATAAACTGACAATAACGATGACTATTTAAAAAACGTGTTAGAAATATAGGCTTTATGTCTGTTAGGAGGGTAGTGCGCTGCACTGATCGTGCTAACTGAACATTACAACTTGAGCCTGAAACTGTTATCCGGTAAATATAGTGTGCAGTGTTACACGATTACGTAAAGCAATCTCCCGTTACTTAATTGCACCGCCAACTCACCGTGAAACTCGACACGGTGCGTATTTTAACGTCTACTATAAATTAAACTCGCCCACTTTGCTGCATGAAACGTTTTCTGAACGATCGAGATTTGAGAGCATTTGAATTCTCAACGATCTGCTGCTACCATTTCACATTCTTTCCAACTGGACTGTTGTTATTCTTGGCGATTGGTGACTAGGCTGCTCTTATATTTGGTAGAAGGAGGATGCAGGGAGTGAGGGATGGGGGTATCTCCTACCACATCATAGCTTCGTGCACCATGAATGGCGGATTCGTTTGCACCATGAATGGCAGATTCGCGCTCATTTTTCGAGTCGTCTCGATCCATACCGTCACGTGCGCGCATACAACGCAGACCAGCCCGTGCGCGCATACAACGCAGACCAGCCCGTGCGCGCATACAACGCAGACCAGCCCGTGCGCGCATACAACGCAGACCAGCCCGTGTGCGCATACAACACAGACCAGCCCGTGCGCGCAGTGCTCACCTTAGCAGACCCACCAATATTCAGCAATATATAAGTCAACGGGGAGAGAAAAATACCACAACCGAGAGAGGGCGTTATTATAAAGGGGACTACGGTTAGTTTCCCTAGCTGGATATTTCAGTACTTGTTGGAAGGATTTTCTGGCCTCTGGTAAGCGCAGGTTTGGGAACCAATGACTGAAGCCATCAGAGAGTAAACGCAGGTTTCAAACACTCACAACTGACTGCTTTGCATTTTATCCTCACTCGCTGGTATTAATTTATGGACGTGGAGCCGCTGGGTGAGGGGTGGTGGTGGTGGTGGTGGTGGTGGTGGTGGTGGGGTGGGGGTTTGTTGACCATGAACCCACTGGATTCACCAGGGGGCACTAGTTGCCATAGCAGGAGCACGTGTGGCAGGAAGAACGGTTTCCAGCAGATGTTCGCTGCGCAGCCGAGCGATGTTGTCTAAGCGGCCTAGTTTGGCTTCTTTCCCACATGTATCTCTGCTGTTAAATGGACCTGTCGATGCGTGCGTGCGTGCGTGCGTGCGTGCGTGCGTGCATGCGTGCGTGCGTGCGCACGGGGTGTGCGAGTGAGACGGCGGCGTAACGGCCATGATCGTTATAGCTCGTACGCTTGTCTGCCACTTACAGCCGCGCGGCGGCGCAACCCGACACCCGCTCGCATCCCTCAGCCTTCAGCTGCAGCGATCCCCGTGTGCCAGCTGCAGCAGTAGCCGCAGCAGCAGCAGTAGCAGTAGCAGTAGCAGTAGCAGTAGCAGTAGCAGCAGCAGT